AGGATGCGGCAGGTTACGAAGCCAGTGGCGCATATGCTGAGCTGATGGCACCGTTCTTTCCATCACCGAACTTGTTACTGACGGATGGTGACGAACATGCATCTATGCGTCAAACATGGGAAGCGAGAATGGAGTCTCTCAAGAAAATGCTAGCTCCTGCAGTATCTGGGCGGGTCAATCAACATTTTTCGGAGCCGTCAACGTCAGCGATAGACATGTATGAGTCTCTGAAAAGGCTTTCATGGAAAATACTGCTCGGAACATTCCTGGGTCTCGACCGCGACAACAGTCTCTTCGATACGCTGGAGAGTTTGCAGGAAGACCTGCTTCGAGGCCAATTCTCGCTGTTCCCAGTGACAGTCAACACAGGTTTCTGGCACTCGCCTCGCAAGAAGGGTAAGGAGGCGAACAAGAAGCTGCAAGACAGAATTCTGCGTCACACGAAGGAAGATGTGAAAGCATGTCCATTTGCTGTTGCGGGCCAAGGCGAAACAGAGGATGTGGCAAAGCACTCAGTCCTCTTTACCAGCAGCCTCGCGGTCAAAGCGCTAGCATCTCTTCTGACAGCCTTCTTGTCAAACCTATTCTTGTATCGGACAAAGGACGGTCGATCGCTGGCCGATACTTTGGCCGGTGAAACTGAACCAGGGAGGCTTTCGCTACGCTTACGCGCCATACTATTAGAGACTGAACGACTTAGCCCGCCGATTGTAGGCGTCATGAGACGATCAACAAGAGACAATATCATCTCGTCGCCGGGAGAGCAGGCTGACATCAGAATACCAAAGGGCTGGGACTGTTGGTTGTATTTCGTGGGCGGTGGCCGCGATCGATCGACTTACGGGTCGACTTGGGATGTGTTCGACCCAGATCGATATCTTGACAAGGGCCTGGCGCCAGGTGTAGCCTACGGAGCGGGTCCCAAGACCTGTTTGGGTCGCGATGCGATCCGCGAGATCGTGCTGGCTGTAGCAGAGACGTTTTTGCGCCTGGGAATCCAGATTGATGGGAAGATTAAACCGCGTGGAGTACGCGGTTGGCTGGGATGGGAGCCGAACGATTCGGTGATGCCTGAGGATTGGGCTCGAGACATGAAGCAGCTGCCGACTCAGAGACCGTCAGACTCAATTATGATATGTGTGTCGCGTAGCTCTCCATAGCAAGATTTCAATGTATTCGTCGCTTGATGTTCCTCTTCGCTATGTTGAAAGCCAGCATGGTCCACCAGATAGCGTTCAGCCCAACCAGCATAGCAGTTCCGATCTGACATCGTTTCCTGAGCATTGCATACGCTTGGCACGGACCAAGGCCATGATGCTGGCCGTATTTCGACAATATCCAGTAAACGACACCGAATCTTGAAGCAGCGAATGTTGCCAAGAAGGCCATATCTAAAGCATTGTTTGATGCTCCTGTGCGCTGTCGGTTCCACCATCGCGCATGCATTAGTGGTGTACTGCCATTCATCAATAAGAACGCGGTGATCACCCACATCCCCTTTTCTCTGCCGGCTGCAATGTACGCTTGCAACACGAGTAACGCGGATGAGAGCAGCACGTGATGAACGAGAGTGATGGGTGAGTCTCGGGCCACAACGCGTAAGGCAGCGCGAACTGCTGACTGGTCCTTCTTGTGGCGTGCATGAATCATCGCATAAGTGTCGTACAGGAGGTAAGCGGTCTCCCATGCAGTCAGCGCGTTAGCCATCTTGTTGTGACCATTGATCGTAGGATTGTGCGAATCGTCTAGGTGTTGGCTCTTCCCGTGAGCGTCTTGAGGGGCTGATTTTTGTGACGGGAGTATCGGCCATGACGAGTATCGCAATAACAACAATGCAGCGATAGAAGATGCTGTGGCATGCGCTGCTGAAACGGCCTTATTGAACCTGATTGGATCTGTTGGCATTCTCGAGGTTCGGTAGTGCGAAATGTTGCTTTGCAGGGCGATAGGAGTGCCATGCAAATAGCGTATTGATGGGAGGCGATGAAATGGCTGCGGTGGCTTCTTGGGCGCTCCTCGGCTGACTGACACTCATGGTCCGTGCGGTGTGCACGTCATCGACCCTTCATCCCAGCCACCGAGTTGAACCCGATCCGCAAACAACATCATCACTTTGTTCTCAGTTATAGCGAGTCTCAGGAATGTCTCGTACACTTTACATCCTATACAATGCCGACGCATCTATCATGGGCAAATTGAGGTACGGTTATCGAAAGATTTGCCATTCTTCAGAGGAGAATCCAGCTTGTGCCGCCTGTATGCTTCCCTCGGCGAATTAATCCGTCTGATAATATGACAAAATGTGCTGATTCCCGCAGGTGATATTACACATGGCGGGTTATCATTGAAAGAAACACCAGCTTGGGTAGAAGCGAAGAAAGCAATAGAGGTTGAGTCTGGATACCACATCGTGCAATGGCATAGAGATGAGCTGTCAGAAGAGGTTCGTGGTCACGATGGGACCTTCCGAGTACTGGGATCTAAGTATTGACCATTTGCAGGTGAAGAACTTCATCGAGTCCAACAACATCCGTTATCCGACCATTGTGTCGAGCGGAAGCAATGGTAATCTCTCAGAGGTGATGAGCAACTCGGAGCTTGCGGCTTGTAAAGGCAATGCACAAAGTGTCATCTCGAGGCTTCGAGAGAAGGGCATTATGCAGCAGAAAGCGGCCTCTCCTTCTCTGTAGCGAGTTCCATTCGATACCGTTTAGCTTAGCGCCTGTACAAGCCAACTTGTCCTTTGAGCAATGCCTAAGCATACTAAAAGGGCCATAGTCCATGAGAGATGCTGCAGATAGCGAGGACAGATGAGCATGGCTGTGAAGAAAGCCGCGCTTTCCGTCCCTTCGATAAGTGCTGGTCGCATTGCCACGCTGGTCAGCTCTTTAACCCTGCTTCCATCTTTCCCGCTGCCCTTGCGCTTCTCGAGAATGGCGCCAATGTAGAATAAGACGAAGTTGTTGACGTGAAATGATGCTTCTAAAACAGCCACTGAGAGCCAGATGCTCTTTGCATCGGGCTCATCATTACGCGCTAAAGCGCAGGATATAGGGATGGTCGAATAGACGACGAAGTCGCCCAAAAGGTCGAAAAAGCCGCCAAGATCCGAAGACTGGTTGCGTGCGCGGGCGACAGCGCCGTCGAGACAGTCCAGTGCCCTGTTCAGTGCCCAGAATGTGGTGCTCGCTAAAGTATTGTTGGATGCAGCGTAAATACAGGAGATCACACCCGAGGAGAAGGCCAGAAACGTGAGAACTAGTGGCGAGCAAACGGAGGGAACGAGTGGCGTGATGGAATCGAAGAGCGTGTCTTTAATCGGTCGAAGCTGGATGTCTAACATGACTGCGGTAGATGCCAGCTGGATAGCGAATGATGGTGCTGGGTGAGATGCAATTTCGAGATGAAATGCCTTCGGAACCGTTCCGATCGGATGACGTCAAGAGTCATGAATGCCCAGAAAGCGCCAAAGGAAGGCAAATGGATGCGATTCAGCATACTATGAACTTCTCTTCACTCGTTACCACATACAATCATGGTTTCAATGTATCGAGCTGCTCTAGGAACCCTGTTTCTCTCTTCCGTTGCCTTCCCAGACCTATACCAGCCTCTTCTCACACACCTGTGGCAATGGCTGATACGGAACCCTCTGTATCGTTTGTCGACTTTTGAGACGATATGGACAGTCCTTCTTTACGCAGTAATCGAGGTGTCTATGACGATTGTGTTCATGCGAAACCCGCAATGGAGATTTGCGGTTCAGCAGGATACGAAAGAGGGAGATGCAGCTAGGAAGCCACATGGGATGCGACGCCCTTCGCGACGATGGGGCGAGGCTGTCACCTACATGACGCCGCTGCTGCTCATGGATCTGACCATGATCAAGAAGTTTGCCGATGTTCCGCTTACTGCAATGCTAGAGTCGGGCAATTACCACGCGGCCGCGGCAGCAATCGCAGCAAACAACTCCACTGCGGCGTATCACAGCACGTTTCTGGTGCCAACACTGCACAACATGACGATGTCTTCCCCGCTGCAAACGCAACGCGCTCTTCCAGACCTTCCTCCTACGAGCCGCAGAATCGCCCTCGAGCTCGCGACGAGCTTTTTCCTCTACGACGCACTATTCTTCCTCTTCCACTACTCGCTTCACGTCATACCCGTGGTCAAACGATGGCACGCACCGCACCATCGACACGCCGAGATACACCCCCAGATTACCAACCAGTTGCACATTCTCGAGCGACTGGGCCTGGTGCTGCTGGCCAACTTCAGCCTCAACATCATAAAGAGCCATGTCTTCACGCGGACTTTATTTGTACCCATATTCGTATGGCTATTAGTCGAGCTGCATTCGGGGCTGGATCTACCGTGGGGTTATGACAAGATACTGCCCAAGGGTTGGGGAGGCGGAGCAAGAAAGCACAGCCTCCATCATGCACGAGGCGGTGGAGGCTACGAGCCGTACTTTACATGGTGGGACAATTTGCTGGAACAAGCGGGCCAGATTCCGAAAGAACATGTCGAATAATTGCGCACGAACCCCCTCGGTTACAGATGCATCGTACGACTACCGAGATGTCAACAAGCACGTCGAAGGCGCGTCTACGAGCAGCGTTTATCTCTGGATAGCCAGAGAGCCACAGCAGTATAAATCAGTCCACAGCACAGCTCTCTACAAAGCCTCACCGTCGTGCTGATCCAAGGTGCGCTTTGAGCCTTTGCGGGAGCGGGAACTCGCGAGATACCGAGGTCGCTAAAGATCAGGCGCCAGCCCCTATTGAACGCCACAAGAGCTTGATTCACGATAGTATGGAAGGCCTCGCGACACGAAAATTCTATATATAAGAATTCTCGCTGGGGACGAGTTGTAGGTATCGCTCTTCGTCGCTCGTTTTTCGTACAGTCTTCTGCACAGTCGCTCGTTACAAAATTCTGTGTCACATCGTCATTTTCACTCTTTCAAACTTCGTACTCTTCACAGGATCGATCCAGTCACTATGGCTTCAAAGTTCATCCTCGTCTCCTTCATCGGCCTAGTTGCTGCGCAACAAGACATCCCAGCAACTATGTCAGTCCCATGGATCGGCGACATCTTCGAAGGCTCAGTTTTGCCGAACATGGTCGGCTCCGTTGTCACCGCGAATCCCACCGCTACGACTCTTGCACTCGCCTGCGCTACCTCCATCGACTGTGGTCTCTTTCCAGCCGAAACCCTCGTCTTCGGTCCTTCGACTTGGAATCTCAACATGGGAGACCCAAGCCCGGAGTCCGACTTTACCGCTACAATGGACTGCGAGATCATGCCCGAAAGCGCGATATGCAAAGAGACGGCTGGCGGAACCGAGGCCAACTTTCCCGGCAGCAGCACAGAGCCATACAGTGGCTCAGCTGTAGGCACGTTTGAATTGGTGATCACGGCTGGTGTAGAGAAACTCAGCCAGGCCACGGAAGCTACTACCACTGACGCTGCGACATCCACCGCTACTTTGTACAAATCACATCCGATGTCTGGATTTGTGGAAGAGATGAGTGCTAGTACAGGTGTTGCAGCGAATTCTGGAAGTGTGAGCCAAACTGCCAGTGCCGCTGCGGCAGATGCTACTGGCGCTGCCAATCCTAAGAGTGTGGTCGGTGGTGGTGGTCTTCTTAGCATCGCTGCTGGTGTAATCGGAGGCCTGTTGCTATGAAGCCTCGTTAGTCTAATAATACTATGAACTCTGAGTTGCTGTGCATTGCTTGACACACGAGAACTTTGACACATTCAACATGCCGCGCACTGCGTCATTGCGCCTACGAGAAGATGCTTGGTCTCAAGACAGCGCAATCTATTCTCGGGGATCAAAAGTTGCAGATCACCCACAAGCACTCAGCTTCACCTCTTGACGTAGCCAAGCTCAGAGTTCCATGTTGCCAAGCTCGTCATCCCCTATGGCCAAGTGCTGTGCCGTAGCACTGAGGGCTGGTTTCTGATTGCTCGCTTATATGTTGAAGGTGACACACTGTGATCGATGGTAATGTAGCAACAGTCATATGCTCATGCTACGCGCGAATTTGGTCGCACAACACTCAAGATCTACCGAAGTGCTGATGGACTTTCCTACCAGTCTGCCACAGGTGGTGAAGTTTCGTTTATCTTCAATAGTCCCAAGAGCACCCCATAGTTAATAGATGATGTGCAATCTCAGCAGTGATAGAGTCCAGTTGATGATGGTCCTCATGGAGCTGGGGTAATTAGTGTAGCGCGATTTAGCCCATATATGTAAGCATTGTTCTATCTTAACAGCTTGGCTATGTCGATGAAGTTCTTGGCCCAGCCGGTTATTATGACTTCAAGTCCGCATCCGTACGGCCCCAAAGATCCTTCACTGTTATGAGCGCATTTTGGTTTAACCGTTACGTCGTGTATCGTCGATGAAGGCATGTAAAATTACGCCTTGCTGTAGAGTACTCGTTGCCCGACTGCAAGCGCGTCGCTGTTCACCGTCATTGGAATGTATCGTCGTCGAGATGAGAAGCGAGGTTCGCCTTGTTGCATGGTACTGCTTGTACGCGCTGACTGTATCTTAAACACTACCAGTCGTCGGCTGTGATTTTTCACGAACCTGTTCGTGAGGGAATTGGCACTTCTGGGCAAAGGACGTCTGGAGATGAGAGGTATGGAGTCCCTCAAGGCACAGCTTAGTGTATAAAGTGTGAGACTGAGCCATCCTCACTCCCAACTCCATCGCAAATCTTCAGCATCTTTCAGAAAGCACACATTCGAAGTGTCTTCGAGATGCATCTATTCCTTCCGTTCCTCGCCGGTTTTGTCGGTGTCGCCACTGCAGACTTCTTGATCTACACGTTCGAAGACAGCAACTTTACGGGTGAACTTTACGTAAGACGTGTATTGTTCTTGGAACCAGAGTTCTACTAACGCAGCTCTAGTTGGGGTGGAAGTTCTTCGATGGCCCCCCGGACTGCAATGCTATTTGTGACACATCCAACCTCGGTGGAACGGACGACGCAAGTGGTGGCGGCGTTCGTTGTGAGGGTAATGGTAATTGTCTCCGTAAGAACTGCATGTGATACAAAAACTGACTTCGCACATCTGCACTTAGACCCAGCAGGTGGCTGCTCTTATTATCCGGATGCTCTGATCACGGAACTCGAAGTACATGTAGAGGGCGTCATGCACTGGACTATCTATGGTGAGAACTCGTCGGTCTACCACCATGTCCCAAGCTAACGATCCGAGCAGAGGACAAAGGGTTCGACATGGAGGCCGCGGATGGTAGTGGCTCTCAGGGCGTGTGCACGCCTGATACCTCGGACGACTACGATTGCGCCAGCTGTGGTAGCCGTTCAGTAGGCCGTCGCGTCTTCGCTTGCAAGAGCAATTTCACGGCGAAGGACTTCGGCTTGGAGACCAAATGAGGTAGCCGGGGTATTGGTATTTCTGGAAATGCCTGTGTGGCGTCCTAATCTTGGTTCGGACGTCTTCTCCTTGGCTCGTGCGACTCAGTGCGAGTTTGATCTGTCTTTACCAAATATGTTGCACATTCTGCCATCTAAAAATGATCGAATCCGGTTATTTGAACCTGTGAAAGGTCGTCTGATCAGTTTGTGATGTCTTAGGAGAGCAACGAAGCATTGACAAGTACGCGCAGACAACTTCCAAAGCGCTAGCCTTCTCTGACTTCCCAATCGTTGCTAGGAGGAACGTGTTGTAGTCGGGCATAACCGAGAGATGTTGGCACGTTGGGTTAAGCGGAAACGTATCATCCTCGGTGAGGTCGTCCTCAGGCGCTGAGCTCCCTTGGAAATACTCATCCGCGGATATAAGCCGGAAGCGGCTCCGTGGAATGCCTTGGCGGTCTTCTACCAGTGCATCCTGCAAGGCAAGCGAACCATTTCCTGCAAGGCCGATGCTTTGAGATGTGCCACGGGCTTGGGTTTCCTGGTGTAAAACGAGAGAGCTCGAGATGGCGTATAATTGTGGGGCGAACCCAGCGTATATGATGGTCGTCGTGCTCGTTACCCGCGCGCGCATCTCTTCGTCTATCTTCACTCTCTTATTTTCATTAGTTCTGAAACGTCCGAAATACATATACCGAATTGCGGTATCTTGTACTGGTAGGTTAAAAGTCGAAAGCGACGCATTCACCGGATGTGCTGGTGTGGACATGGTTTCTGTGAGGGAATGATGAAATGAGCTGCTTCGAAAGAGCAGGATCTAATGTGAGAATTCAAGACGTATGGGGAGGTGCCTGAAGAGAGACTCTGAAGGGATCGCTAAAGAGGAGGTCTATCAGTGAAGGGAAACTGCTGGTGTCGAGCGCTAGAACGCGCTTTCCTCACAGGAACCAGATGACGTCATCGCGTTCCTTCCCACGAACCTCGCAACAGCAGTGATAATGCCACAGCTCTTCGACTCCATGCATTTCGAGGCGCATTCCTGCGAAATCGTGCAAATGGACCCCATCGAAGCGTGTTTTTCCAGATCGAAGTTCTGTGCGATCGATGATCGATGGCAATTCGGACGAGCGGCAGAGTGGGTGCGGCTAATGTGTGGCTGCACGTTCCAATGGAATTCCCGAGGTCGACGCGACAAGTCTCAACACCAAGACTTCACCAACGCATGAGCGCTTTGTTTACGGGACCGAAAAGCCTCCCCCGGAGAAGAGTAAGTATGGTTCTCACATGACCATCGCGCAAGGTGTTGGATCACTAGCCTCACTATTCCCTTTGCAAGCAAGACTGATTTGGAAACTGACCCATTCTCCTGGGCTAGAGTTTTGGAAGAACTGCTATACTACCGAACGCGCAGACGGATATCGAACAAACGAGTACACGATGCCACCATCAAAGTTTATGTGGTGTAGTAGAAGTCGGGCCGCACATCACCCATATCCTCAATCTCCTCCTCGGTCTTCCCCTGTACCCAGTGGTCGCGCTTGCCCGCCTTCCTGAGCTTGTTCTCGCGCTTGAGCGCAATGTGCATGAAGAGAGTTCCACCGAATAGGAACAAGAACATGTAGGCGAGCACAATGCCGTGGCCGGTACGGTAGTGCGGTTTCTCCTTGCTCATGTAGATGTTGGACGAGACGACACCGTTCATGTTACCCCATCCGACGACGACACCGACCATAACACCGCGCTTCAATGAACCCTCGACGTTGTTGGAGGCCCAAGTCAACGTGTTGGAGACTGTGGGGTAGATACCCATGGCACCGAAGAATGTGGCAGCGTACTGGACTTTCGCGTTCGTGGTGGCAAGTAACATGGCGAATCCAACGCATCCAATCGCCGAGACGATGAGGTTGCAGATACCACGCTTCTTGGTCTTGTCGGCGATCCATCCGATAAACACCGTTAGGGCGGCAGCGGCAGCGTAAGGAGGGACGGACAGGAGCTGAGCCTTGGTACCTTTGTGGCCCATACCGAGTAGAATCGTAGGGAGGAAGAGCGAGAAAACGTACAAAGGGCATAGGCAGCCCATGTAGATGACGGCATATCCCCAAGTTTTCCAGTCACGAAGGGCGGCCATCACGTGTCGGCGGTCAATGCCTCCAACCTTGGCGCGGGCTTGTCCATCGGCCTTGAGGCGACGCTGGGCTCGTAGCTTCTCGTCGGCTGTGAGGAATCGGGCCGTGTCCGGGAAGTCGAAAACCATCCACCAGCAGAAGATGCCGACGAAGACAGTCATCAGACCCTCAATAATGACTGCGCATGTTAGCTTGCATCATATGTCTGGATCGTGAAGACATACAAATCCATCGCCAACCGGAGTAACCACCTGCACCATCCATCTGGGTGATAGCGGCAGCCAAGAGACCGCCGAAAGAACCAGCAAGCGCGGCAGCGGAGAAGAACAAAGCAGCACGGAAACCAAGTTCCTGACGTTTGTACCAGCAGCTTGAATATTGTCAGTGACGGACGTCCGTTCGAGAAGCAGGGTGCAACTTACGAAAGGTAATAGTTGACACCTGGGAAAAGGCCAGCCTCGGCAATACCCAGAAACCAGCGGCATGCGAGAAGGCCCGCTTTGTTCTGAACAAGACCCATGAGTGTCATAATGGTACCCCAGGCAAGGATGATAGCCGTGAAAAAGACACGAGGGGACCATTTCTTGATGGCGATGTTTGTCAGCGGCTCGAAGCCGGCGTAAGAGATGAAGAAAATAGTCAAAGCGTCGTTGTAGCCGCGGCCTTTAGGATCAATTCCGATCTCCTCTTCCATGTTCGCGACACGAGCATTGCCGATGTTGGTCCGGTCCAAGAAGGACAGCAGATACAACAGCGACAGCCACGGGATGAGCCACTTGTCCATCTTCCAGACCAATGCTTTGTCCTACCAGAAGTCAGCGAGTTACGGGACGAAGAAATCGGAGCGTGTCGTACAAGCGCGGCGCGTTCGGCATCAGATTTGCCTGCGTCTGGGTCGGGCAGGTCATCGACATCTCCAGGTGTGCTGATCCGAGAGCTGTCAATGTCGTTGGCGTAGATATGCTGGCCCTTCTCGTTGGCCTCGTGGACCTCGAGGCTGGAGTGTTGCTGTACGGCTGCCATGATGATTGGTGCCTGATGGTGGACTGGAGTACAAGAGTCTGAGGAAACGTTCGCAAGAGGGGCAGCCAAGTGTCTCTATATGTACTCAGGCTCGCGAACGCCGTGGGTGTGTCGCTCGAAACGAGACGGACCCTGCTAGGGTTGATATGACCAGCTAACCTAGCGCAACCCGGGACCCCATGGGGCGGTTGGATGGGCCAAGATTGTGGATCTGACTTAGCCCGTCTGCTGCTGCGTCCGAGCGTGGCGGTGGTAAGAGCGCCGAAGAGGGCGAAGACGCGATATCTTGACGCGCCTTCGCTTGGCGCTATCGGCTGCAGTACCACGTTGCCTCTGGCTTGTCAAATCTGTCACCAACCGACTCGCTGCGGAAGTCCACCCTCTCTCGCGCTTCACCGATCACCTTGCACGTCTACTCAGCGGATCCAAACGAAGCGCGTATCCGTAGATTGGGTTTCAGCCTCCCAACTGCAATCCCTATCCTAGGAGTGCGGATCGATGCCACTGCGGCCCCTACGAAAGCAATTATTCCACCATATCGTTCTTTAGGCAGAGCCCCTCCTCGCTCCGGACCAAGCGCATGTATTGGGAACTTGCTGCGTTCCAGAACGACCGGGACTTGCGTTAAATGGCATCTCTGGGCACCGCCGACGAGGCCATTCGAAGCCTCGTAAAAACGCCCACCAAGACCTTGGCACAACGCCCTCACGCATGGAGCCGCGGATAAGGATTGGGCGACAGGGTGTTTCTTTTCAGCCGGCAGGACGAAGCTTTTCGCTGAGCTTCGCTCAGTAATTATAGTCACGTCGTGTCACAGCGCCTAAATCTCACACATTTCTCACGGTCTGGTGTTGAGTTTTCAACACAGCGCGCATCAAACAGCGGACTCTTCCCCGCCATGCCCATCATCCGGGGGTTTTGTGGGGTGGCTTGGCAGCGCTAGAGTCGGCCGGACTCACGTAGGCCGCCCCGCTCGCCAGGCATCGCGCACTCTGGTGCTCTCTGGAAATCCCGCTGTCCACTACTGGGATACAGCTGACGAGAGCCCAGATGGTGCATCGGATAAATGGAGCACTGGCCTCCTGCAATTCGCCAGTGCCGTCCAACGCCCACGGCGCGAGCGGAACAATGGAAGCTGCTGGTTCTTGCATGGCAGCGTCAAGCACCCTGCACCACCCTGCACCATGGATAGCGACAGCACTGGTCTGAGGCTACTTGCGACGGTCTCTGAACCCGGGCTACCGTTAACGAGCGACCTCTGGGCACGGCATTTGCATTGACTTTTGGACTACCCGCACGTGGCCCACGGCGATACCGCAGGCAGTTTGTAATCGATGCGCTGCCCCGGCGAATAGCCTACGAATCCAAACACCTGGATGGCGCACACGATTTCATGCCTAGAAACGCCAAACAGCGCACCAAGCCGATCGTCCATGTGGTTGTCGCGTGGCCGTCCGCCGGTTGGGATCCAAAAGATCAGCGAGCGTTGACTGAGCCCCTTGCCTGCTTCCACCCATCTCAACGTTCCGCAGCTCCTAATTGCGTGCTGCGCGATCATCTAGTTGCGTTGCTGCGGCACAGGTCGAATGCATGCCAAAATACGCCCACCTGCGACAGGGCTCCCTAGCTTGTTGTAAGCAGCCGTCAGCATCGGGAACGTGCTCTCTCGTCTCTTCGTAAACATAGTAGAAGAGAGATTGGCCAACCACGCCGCAATGAAACATGGTATCAATACTGCGTACTGACATCTCAACACATGCAACATGCCTTCTGGCAGTATACGAAAGGTAAGTTCCAACACACAGTGATTGCTTTTTTCATATTCAATTACGCTAGAGCATCTAGAATCAGGGTCTGGTTATCGCTTGATATTTATATGTCTGCATTATCAGACGCGGACATCGGCTATGCGCGTCTAGCAAACTATCGAAACGCATCGTCTAAGCGCAGACGTCCAGTCTCGCTACCGATGGGTCGTGGTCGCTGACTTGCGCATCATACTCAGGCCATGTATTAACATGAATGTGCTCAAAGTCTGCCCTGCTCTTCTTGGCCAAGGACGGCGAGACGAACATGTGGTCCAGTTCCTGAGCGTTCATGTCGAAGAGATAGGTGTAGCGCTCGAGCTCGTCCTCGCGGACTACCTCGTCCAGATCCTTGAGCCCTGAGATCTTGGTGTACTCTTCGAGGGGTTGCACGAAGGCAAACTCGTTAAAGTCCCCTGCAGTCACGACGCGGGCGTTCTTGTCCTTGGAAAGGATATCCTGCAATTCAACGTCAGCCGTGCTCTCATCTACACTCCAACTTCATAGCTTCAGGGGCAAGAAAAGGCATTCCCTTCGTGCGAGCGTGGCGTTCTTGGTACCACCGAGGGACGGAGGTACGAGAAGCGTGCTGCAGCCACCCCTCTCCGCGCCGCCTTGCCGCATAGAGCCGCAACCGACTTATCAACGTACCTTGACGAAATTCGCGGTGAGACGCGCCTGTTCGAGACGATCATCTAGAAGCATATCGTTAACGACTGTTGCACGAATCTACTCAGATTGATGAACTCACCTACGCCACCATTGACTGGTGGTCGAGCATCTCCATGCAAACTGCTTGATCCTCCCTTTGAGCCAAAGTGCACATTGACCGTAAAGAACACATTCGGCTTCTTCGCGCCGGCCTTTCCGATGACCTCCCACTGTGCAGCCAACGGCTTTCGGCTCGCTGTCCAGGCGTCATTTGCCGGTTCGATACGTCCAGGGTTGTACTTCAATGTCGGGCCAGCAAGCACTTCGTTGGCATCGAGCGGACCGCCCGGGTTGGGCTTGTAGAGGCGAATCAGGTTCGGCTTGTACAGGTAGGCGACGCGGATGTTACCACCGGGCTGGCCACCGTCTTGATCGTCAACAGGCACAATGTCGGTGAATGTGTAGTTTGGGCCACCGGCTGCTGAGATGGCAGCTGTGAGTGTGCTGAGGGTAAGGTTTGCGGATACGACTAGACATGTCAGACGATTCTGTTCAATGCGTGCGACACGGGAGAGGAGTGCGGCTCGTATGCGCCCCGTCGCCGGGTACAACATTCGGTGAAGGAAAACGGAAACGCTGTGAAAGCTTTCTGTAGCACTTACCTGCGTCGTTGGTGGGACCATTGTCGTCCTGTACCTCCTGAATGAAGAGAATATCCGGGCTCTTCATGTAGTTCACGATGTGATTGGCAAGGTCAGGGTGGTGGTCAGATGTAGGCGCAAGGTTCTCGACATTGTAGTCGCCAAAGGTAATGCCATCGCACTTGCCGCTCGATACAAGCTTGGTCGCAGGAGGAAGAGCAGGCGTCTGGCTCTTAGTAACCTTGATAGCGGTAGTAGGGAGGATGCGGTAGAAGCCAAAAGCGTAGCTGACGATGCCAGTAATCTCCTGGACTGAATCGCCCATCTTGGTGCCAGTGGGGTTCTTGGTTCCGTCGAGAGGAGTTCCGATAACGATGGCCTCTGGGTTGGCATCCTTGTCAGTCAAGGTCAATCCACCACGGTCATTGCGACCAGAAACCTTCCAGTCTCCAGCTACCCAGGTGTCGCCGTACTGGTTGGGCTTGGTGAGCGCAGTAGGCTTCTTGACAGTGACCAATTCACCGGTCAAGCTCTCCCAGAAGTCAAGACCGTACTTCTTTGGCTGCAGCTCCGGGTTCGCAACGCTAATCTGCGACACGTTGTTTGGCACAGCGAATACATCTCCGCCATCCAGACTGCTGTATTGCTCATTTGGAGGGTCGCGGGTGTCTTTTCCGATAATCAGCGGCTTTACGGCAGCACCCGAGCTGAGTCGCCCCTGCAATACTGGTGTCGAGAGCTGGGTCAGGTAGATGTAGTCCTTGTTCGAGCGGTACTCCACCACCTTGCCTCCCACAACAACAGTATCGCCAACCGTCAGGTTCGTACCGAACGTGCGACCAAAAACGTATACAGACTCGGATGTCCGATCGTCGCGGTCAGGCTGTGTCGATCGCAACCAAAGACCATCGGGTCCCTTCGCCGTAACAACACCAGTAACGTTCGAAACCGTCTGATCTCTGTATGGCGAGAGAAACTTGTTTCCATTAATCTCCGCAATCGTCAGCGCAGTAGAAACCGCCACCGAAGCCGAAAGGGCAAAAAGTCGCGTCAAAGGCGCCATAACGAAGAGTAAAAACGAAGGTATGAACCGGAATAGCGTTTACCAGTATTGAGGTTCGGGCACTATCTTCTTATAATCCGCATTGCTACCATGCTACCATGCTACCAAGTCAAAAAGCGCGTTCCAAGAACCCGGTCCCGCTGCTGTCTATCAATGACGATCGCGCTACACTCCACTTGACCTGTTCCTGACAGTTATCGCCGCTGGCCGTCCGACCCATCCGTCACTAAACACCACCCCACCTCTTGCTCGACTAACTCATCTTCGCGACTTGCCTATCACAGCCAGAGAACAACATGCCACCGGCCATGCGCGAGCGCCGATAGCCCTTGGCAATACCACTGATTCTCTTGATTTCTTGTGCATGTTTTCGACGCGTGCAGCGACGCGCGTGGTTTGGTTGGTCGGAGTGCAGCGCTGGACCCTGGTTTGGCGCGGGCCGAGGCTGTAGCTTCTTTGGGAAGGTGGGACGGTGATTGGTCCGAAAGCGCGTGGTTGGGGAGATTGGAGCGGCGACATCCGCTAGGCGTGGCGGAGGGCTGTCAATCAGGTGGGAGAGATAAGACACGTGTGGGGATGGCGCAATGGATGTCTTTATGCGTGGTATAGGAGAAGCGGCTTGAGAAGTGTGGCGGTGGAGTACACATGAGAGGCGGGTGGACGATGGATCGTGGATTGTGGATGATGGGAGGATGAGAGCGAATGGGAGAGATGCACGTGGGCTGGGCACTGATCTAGACGGCGTGCGAACAGGATGGATGTACGGCTTTGTGAGTGAATGACCCGTGTCGACGCGGTTGTTACGTTATGTGAAGGTGCGCTACTCTTACTGCGTCTTCTACAGCTCATACACCTCATATAAGAAAAAGCTCCATCATGCTGGAGCCTACATCACCATTAACACATGAGAAGAAGGCGACGCGACGTCAATGTCGGCGCTATGGTGTTCAGTTGTTCCCTTAAATAAGGTGCATTGATTTCAACAGCGTAGAACACATGTATGGGATCGAGGGAAGAGACGCAGCACACATAAAACCACAGTCATTCAGCATCAAGACCGCTCCTGAAGCAAAACAGCTTCCCAAGCTTGGTGGTGGTAATAATGATACCGATGCTCGCCGTCTTCTCACGACCCTACAATGCGCGATACCACGACCTCACTGCCTACCCCATACCCATTTCTTCCCCCCAAGGCAAACCCGCGCGGCTTTGAGTGTATTCCGTCTAATCTTCCTTGCCTGAATCCTCAGAATTTTTCCGCTGTTCCTCCCAGAATGTACGCTATTTGTCAATTTGATCTTTCCTTTCGTTCCTTTGCCGCTCATCTCTCTTTCGACATGCCTCGACAAGCATTGCTTGCATATAGGGGCTCGATTTAGGACATACCGATCGCGCTGTGTTGCCTGTTGAATTGATTAGCGGAATGGCGTGTTGAAGAAGATGTGTGAAACATAGACTCACCAAGTTCGACATTGGCATGGCGACTTTCTACTTGCGTGAAGTGGGCGCTGCCACCGCGTTCGCCCCTGTTGGGTCGTTTGGTCGGGTTCGTTTCGCAATCGCTTGTAGCAGCCAATTCCTGGCTTGCCCGACGCTTTTTACCAATATTTGCGAGCGAAGACTCTGGCAAGAGCGTTGCTTGGGGTCTGATAGGCGTCGGTCTTGACGCCGCAGGGCAAATTATCGTGTGAGGAGCGGGATTGAGGTCGGCGGGCCTTGAAGCTACAGGCGGCGGTTCGAAGGCCATCATGACGATAGGATGTGTCAAATGGCCTATGTCGGTGGCTCTGTGGTGACTTCTACCTCGTAAAGATTGACTACTCAGTGGCTTACGTGAACTAGGTGAGGGCTTTGATTGGCTCTTTCCTGGCATGCTCCATTTACCTGGTAGTACAGATTTAGTATGCTGGTTTGCAGGGCTGCAATGCACATCACTTACCTGAAGTGAATGATGCCAGATTCTCTTGGAACTTTACACGCAGCCGATGCAGATCTATGGGCGGGGATGCCTCAACCGGTGGTGGCGACGACACTGGCTCTGGTGCAAGACGGATGTCATAAGGCGGTGGTGAGTCTGGTGGAGCAACTGCATGAGGTATCGAAGGGCTTGGCGAAGTTTCCGTGGAACGTTCCAAAGCGGTGTCGTTTCGCCACTGCATATGTCCTCGCCCCATATCACTGATTATTTCCACGGCCTGAATGATCTCACCACCATCATCTGTGTGGGTTGAATAAGCCACCAGGCGACGACACAGATCCAAGACAGGCCGTTTCGTAGTCTTATCGCCATCTGTAATTTCCAAGAGGAGCTTTTGCGTTGCGTGTTGTATGGCTTTAAGCAAGAGATCAAGCAATGCTCGCGACGCCTGAATTTCCATAGCGTGTTTCTCCAGAACGGCGAGGCGCTCACTTTCTGATGAACCACGGTCTTCGCGTTTAAGGCATTCCCTTCGAATTTTGATCACCTCGCGGGAAAAATGCTCACCTTCCAGGTACTCCTCAAGCAGAAACGGATGCTCCACTAAGCTCTTTAGGGGAACTCCGGACATCGACCAGGAGCTGGGTACAACGAGTGGCTCAGAATCGAAAATCTTCGTTTTGGCGGTGCGAGCGATGTTATGTCGCAGGTCTAGACAACGCTTCACAGCGCGAAGCTCTTGTGCGGCTATCTCTTGCTCCATCTCCTGCATCTCCCGCTGCATATTGGCATAGTATTCCGCGGTGGCGGCATCAATCGCGTTCCACGATGCTGGTTTGAAGAAAGGAGGACTGGGCGGAGGCTCTGGAGTAGCTTGAAGTTCTAATTGCTCCGATTGCGTTGAACCGCTGACATTTGCGCAGTGAGTTGTCGCTTGTTGTGCGGCCAGTTCGCCTGCGAGCGATAAAGGAAGGTCCATCGCGTATAGATCCGCATCCGAGTCATCGATGTCAGAAAAAGGCATATCAACAACATTGGTCATATCGAGAGTGTGGATCGTGTTGATATGGGTATCGATACGCCTTGGGGGATACGATACGATTTTGGAGTCGATGCTGTGTTCGAAAGGCGAGTGAGGAAGACTAATGATCTTGCCAGGTCAGTATTCAGCTCTTCTCGCCGGGCGCTCACTTACTAATGCAACAGTGCTGTTGAGAAGATAGCAATGTGAGAGTAAACAAATCGATATATTGAAAGTGAAAGAGCTCGCGGGTTCAAGCTCTTGCTTAGGTGAGGATGAAGCAATCACGATGCTCGCGTGAAATGAAGTGCCTCGTACGCTACGTGGCAGGCGCGGAGGTAGACTACGGTGAGATGCCTTCACATCGTAGATTATCTCATTCCGTAACGCTCACAAGTATATCCGCACTGGGAGTGGCTATTATTCCTGTCGCATCCCTAAGCTGCTGCATTCACGCTATTATGTCTATGCAAATAGGAAGTACCTATACAAGACAGTGCATATTTCTACTCATACCTTTTTGTAGAATGCGACACAAATTCCAGCCACCCCAAGTGCCCTCGTGATTGTAAATGAATTTGATCGCTCCTCCCAATATCGTAGTGTGATAGCCGCACCTCCATGCAGGTGCCGCGGTTGCGGGTGCACATGAGACATCTAGACACGAGCAGAAGCTCTCGCAACTTGCAACTTGCAGTATTCAGAGTATCACATGTTGATGAATAGGCAGTTTCGAAGATGATGTATGCTTCTACCCTAATTTATCCGTTGTAGAATGAGACAAAAACCATGCCCACCTCTGGTGACACTACGCCGTAAAGGGTTTAGCGTCCTCACCTTCCAGATGTCCCATACACGCGCAAGCCACAACACTGGAAGCTGCGAAGGAAGTCACTTCAGCAATTACGGTATAGAAACAGCAGAATAGAAAGCAAAAGGCTATAAATTATAAGAAGCTAAGAATACACGCCCAGGCATCCGCCTCCCCGTACAAGCGAGACAGCTTGCAACAGGAGAGTGAAACGGAGGGTATATGCCCAAGTCGCTAGAAGAAGAAGAAAGTGGATATCAAAAAACGACATGACAACATCAAGAGTACCCATCCGAAAGTCCATCCCAGAAAAGCCGAGTCCAAAGTCCTACATGTCCGGTCCCAGATCCTGTTTTCCGTTGCCAGGTCAAGACATACAACTCCGCTACCCATACCTCATAGACCCGTAAACCTACAAAAGCTAAAAGTAGTAAGAGATGTTTAGAAGGCAACACCAACAGCCCCTGGACTCATGACCATCGCACTTGCCCTACCATTAACGCCAACGTCTTTGGCACTAATCTCCATACCCTTGAGCAAATCAAAGTGAGGACTCATAGGTGGCTTCACATTCATGACACCGCTCTTCCTTGTTGTCGCGCTCAAGAGACCAGCCTCAGCAGCGATCTCCTTCTCCTTCACGAGCGTCAAAGGAGCAGGTACGCGGCGGAGCTTGCGGGGCGGCGAGCAAGTAGCGACGGTGGAGGCGAGTGAGTGGGTCGTTGGTGTAGGCGAGGTGGAGCGGGTGGAGGCGTAGGATGTAGTAGAGAAGAGGGTTACAGTGGCTGTGCCGTTGCTTTCTTGGCTCTCTTGTCGGGTGTGGAGGGTGCGGGAGCCGGATGTTGAGGGTCGAGAGGTTGAGGTAGGGAGGGCGGGGTAGGGCGAGCATTGGTAGAAAGAGTCTGCTGTTTTTGGCGTCGTGGGACGCGAGGAAGAGGCTAGGGTGGAGGTGGAGCGCTTGAGCCAGGCTCCTAGGCGGGCGATGGGTGTGGTGGGCGTAGCGGGTGGTGGCGGCGTGATCGGGTTCGAGGTCAAGGGGCCGGTGTGAGCGAAGGATGGTGGGGAGAGTGTAAGTCCCATCGTTGCTCGTCGAGGCGCGGTAGCTTCTGGGGTGGTGGCGAGTGGCTTGAAACCCAGAGGAGCTGAGAATGCAGAGCCAATGTCTGAAAGGGTCTCAGAGCGAACGTGCATACGCATCGATGGCGCGATGTAAGGCACGTGGTGAGAAGGAGAGGGTGGGGGACGGTTGATGAGTGCGGGTGAATGGGCGTGGGAGCGGTAGGCGCTGGCACGGCGCTCTTCGATTATAGTGTTCAACTCGCGGATGGCATCATCTACGTCGGTCTTTGTACGGCGAAGACTTCCTGGGCGAGAAGATGGTGCAGTGTTGGCCCGATTGCGCGACGGCGATGGAAGACGTGAAAGCACACGGGCAGGCGACAATGTGCCGGACGTGCGCGATCGCTGGATGGTGGGCTTCTCAAGCATCTGATCAACTGCAATCGGCGAGTTCTCTGGCAAGTATGCTAGAGTGGGCGTAGCCATGGTACCCATGGTGGTTCCTGAGAGTCTCCTCTCGTGGGTGGCGGTGCTCTTCTGGCTCTGGACACTGCTCCTTCGGGATTGCCCACCGACGGGTTTACGTTGAATGACGAATGATGTGGCAGAAGGGTTTGAAGATACAGAACTCGTACGTGAGTCTCTTACGCGGACATGAGCTTCAGCAGGACGCTCCAGCTGCGATGGTAGGCTAGCCCAGGCATCCTCACCGTCGAAGTCAGGCAGTGGAGAAAGATGTCCACAGCCGTCAGGAAGGTAGATAGATAGCTCAAGCGGACGGAAGCTACGACGACGGCGAGTAGGCACGGAAGCATCATCGAGCATTGAAGGCATATCATCAAGACCATCGAAGTGCCGAAAGTTTGTTGGGCGGCTGATGCTAGGCCTTGAATGGGAGCGCCTTGGTCGCGCAAGGGTCGAGATGCTTGCACGAGACGAAGCACGTGTAGCGTACTCGCGACTGTTGGAAACCCATTGCGAGACATGGCGGCTCACCGACTGACTTGTCGATGGGCGTTGAAGTGTTGGCTCCGCGCAAGGTTGGGGTACGGGACGCGGTTGCTCGTAGCATATGCGCATGTCAGTCTCCCCTATGCATCAAGACGTTAGCGTTATGTTGGATCGATCGGGATTGCCCTATGCGGCTCCAACATATTGGATGTCTGTTGGAGCATCGCCCGGGTATGGTCGTGCATCAAGCAGATTAAGGAGAGCGTAAGCGAGTGGCATGGTGCATCTCAACAAGAACGTTGGAGTTGGGAACCAACGGACAGCAGACTGCTGTGATCGAGGCAGGAATCTGTAGAGACGACCGCAGAAAAGAGAGCGCAAAGTGAAGAGATAGTTGTGAGGATGGAGAGTGGAAGAAGGAATCGAACTTACCAGCAGCCCTGAGCGCATTTCTCCCGTCGTCCACAAAATCCTCTTTCGATGCACAGCATCCAAACTTGATGGCCAGCCATGGGGACCTGGGTTCCTTCTCTTGCATATTCCCGTAATTCATCTTCTTTTCACGCTGTAGACCAGTACAGCTAATAATCCATCATCAAAATGATCAAATGCAGTCGAACAAGAAGTGTGACAGAGAGTGTGGTGCCTGAAGCAGGCAAAAGCAAAGACTAACAGATACTAGAAGAGAGTAGTAGAAGAAGGTTGGAGGAAAAGGTAAGGATGAGAGAGGAAAGGCTGACTGCGCGAACCATTCGGATAAAGTCGCAGCCTGTCGACGAATGTGTTGTCCTGCAACGGATGGTTCGCTTCTAGAATGCGCAAATCCTGGAGGTCTGGCCGTCAGGAACAGCGAACCACTCGCACTTCACAGGACGACAGTGGCTCGCATGTTATAGATGAGGCCTGTCCCTGACCATTCTGTACGCGCCCAATGGCAGCGCATCCCTACCATGGAGGTTGTCAACTTCACCAGCTAGCTTGTGTGGAGGCTTGCGCGCATTGAGGCGAAATGGTAGGGTGCCGGGTGTGATTGGCTAGGAAAATAGAGTAAGCGCTCGAGGCAGAGCGGAGACTCGCAGTAACGTGGACCAGTGACGAGGCAATAGCGCTTGCGGCTTGAAACTGCCAGAGGCCTTGTCGGCATGTGGCGCGCTGGGTCCCTTTTCGTTGGCATCAGGGCTGTTACTTCATATCGCCATGTTCGAGCATGCGCACAGCTGTCGCGTCCTTGGGCAGATCACCGCGACATGGCGGGGATGCCTTGGAACACTGGCTTTTATCTGCGACGTTTGAAACATGCGCATCGCAACGAGCGTCATTGTTTGAGACGCGCACAAATGGATTTCCGATATATGAGGGTAGTGTTGAGTTGATGGGTCCATGATGCCTGGGTCTGGTGGAAGGTGCAAATCACGCGTGCGCCTGCCCCATCGGTTGCTGAGGCTCTCGCCAAGTTCGCTCCCGCACCGGCATGCATCCCAGGATGTGCGACAGCGAATCAGTCATCTACTCACGATTTCTGGTATAAACCTTCATGTTAGCGGGTAGTTTGCAATTGGTGAGATGCATAATTCTTGAAACAAGCACGTAAGAAATCAACAGTCAACTCATCCAATCATAGACAAGAAATGGACTTTAGAGGCGGCAGTGAAGATAGTCTATCCATCTTCACCGGTGCCAGCGCATTAAGAGTCTTGGAAGCCTTATGAAAAAAGCTCGTCTCGTCCTGATTTGTACCCATTCCACAGAAGCGGAAGGGCAAATCTCCACCTATATCCCGTTTGGGGTGAAGGTTTTTATCGGGCTTGGTTCATTGGCCGCATGATTTAGATGACAGCGGAAACGAATGCACAATGCACAACGGACCGTACTTTGCACTTCTTAGGCAGATGTATAGTAGATGAATTTCGCCGTAGTTATGCTAAACGAACAAGGATATCGCTGACATTCTAACGCCGCAGGAAAAAGATATCGCAAGGTGTAATATGTGGCATAAGCTTGGGTATAAAACAGATCAATGGCCCAAAGTCTGACAATGAGTGCCTCCTTGAGATCGGGATCGGGATCGGGATCGCGTCATCAGTCGGCATTCCAAGCGTTGCGCTCTTCTCTGAAACTGCCGTAGGACGGACTCGGATGATCCTCGGCCTCTTCACTGGTCTTCTGGTTGCTGACATCGCGCGTTTCCCAGTGATTGGCCTCGCTAACAATGTGCGGCTTGATGTCGTGTTTCCGCTGTTCCTCTTCGCTTTGGTTCTCGGTGAACGCATAGTTCAGGTTGTGCTCAGCTTCTGGATTCTGCGGCTCAGGCTCATCGGGGTTGAAGCCTTCTCGAACCTCTTCTTCTTCGCCTGGCTCGTATGTTTTACTACAATCATTGTTAGGTTCGTACTTTGACTCGATAACGGAGGGACAACCTACACAAAGTGCTTCGAAGGAACCTCATTCCATCCTGGACCACCTTCCTTACGCGCTCTGACGCGGTCGACTTCTTCTGCCTGATGATCTTCGACAACGAGATCCACGAGCTGGCTCTTGTCTGATTTCGCTGAGCTGGACGACGAAGACTTTTGGCGGAGAAGGTTGATGAAGGGGGCACGCGACGTGGAATGTGAGGACTTTGAGCGGGACGACTCTCCGTTGCTCGACTGGTCGCGCTGTTTGCCCTTGCCTACAGAGTCTTGTAAATCTTGAATTTGACTCTTCCTCCTACGCTTGTTTTCCTTGGTGGGTTGCAGTAGGTTTCGGTTGGTCGATGCGGTCAGAATGTTGGGATCGGCGTACATGCGGTCTTCACGAGATGGACGGTGGGCTTCGATGACGGGGTACTACAGCTAGGTCAGACAAGACACGATTGCAGATGGATGTATACTTACGTTCCAGTCTCCGAACTCCAGCGTACGTGCGTTATCATATAAGCGCTCTTCCTCGGCGTCCAGATTGGGCTCTTCGACCACGTCGGGTGTACCGTACTTGGCACCTTCGCCTTTGAGAGCCTTGTGCGGCCCTGGACTCATGGCTCTAGCGCGGCTCGATGTGACCTTGTTAAGGAGTGGTTCGTGCTCCGATGCTTGTCCAGGCTTGGGGATCCAGTACTTGCCCTTGCCCCCTCGCTCGTATCTCATGCCTTCGGCCATGCGTGCAGCACGCGATGATGACTCCTCGTGTGCCAGCACGTTGTCGCGCGCGTCGAAGTAGCGATATTCATAGTGATTACCGGCAAAGGTTTCCTTGGTGTCTTGGATGAGATCCAGAGGACCGAAGGCGTCGCGCAGGGCATATTTGACAGGCAGTCGGGCGGCGGATATGGTATCGTCGGCATAGTCGTGCCAAGAGAAGGCATACCAATGAGCCAGCGCAAACAGTGGCATCTCGAAACAGATGAGAGCATCCTGTACCGCAGCGGCAAGATTGTCAGGGCTGTAGCCCGGCACATCGTCTGGAATGGCGCCCAGGAAGACGAGAATGGATAAGAAGAAGCCTTGCCAGTATGAAGCGAAGATGATACCCTTGATGCACAGGAACTTGGGCATAGGCCGGAAGGGCTTGAGATCGGTAGACATGCACACCCAGAACATGGCAAGGGCGTACAGACTGATGGTAATGCTGACGTTGTAGATCATGCCACTCCAGAAGTAGCCGGACGTCAAGCCTATGTATCCTTCCTTGTATGTGCCTGTGGCCTTCATGATGATGGTAGCCACAGACAGTAGCGGCTTTACCCATGTGTATTGCAGGATGCCGCGCTTGATGGCGAGGAAGGTATGCGGGTCGGATATGTCGATCTTGGAGCAGACGAGGTTGAGAGGCCATGGGTGGGAGACGGGAGCGCGACCAGTCATAAGGATGATGAGGGCGCGTTCGCCGCCGATGAAGTTGATAAGCAGCTGAAGGAAGGTGTAGATGGTGAAGGCCTGGACAGTTAGCACAAGCTATCTGAGTGGGATGATTGGTATACCTCATAGACATCTCTGAAGGGCTCTACATAGGACGCGGCTATGGTCGACACCAAACTGGCCCACGATGCGCCTGCGTAGATGGGGACCCTTGATAACGTGAGCGATGGCACACGACAGAAGGAGAGAGGGCTCACATGAGGAGGATGCGGACGACATATCGCTGTAGCACCGGCTTGCGGTAATTCTTCCTATACATTGTTCAACACATGTCTATCGGTAGGTGGAGGTGTTCCTCACGTCTGTAACCAGACAGCACTACAGCTACGTCAGTTCATGTCATGCAAGATGGAAGCTCTACTACCTACACAAAAGTGACCAGACTCGCGACCAGAGCACATACGCCGGCCACGATGATAATCGCACGTGCAAACCGGGCGCCGGTGCCGCCAGACGAGAAGTCGGCGGCCGTGAAGTCGGGTGGGAGGGTGCCTAGAGCCATGGTGAGGCGTGGGCCAGCGAGGGAACAGGAATGAGCTGAAGTCGCAGTCCTCGGTCGGTCGTTGCTAGAGGGACAGGCGGTGGTATTAGCGATGCAGCGCAGCCATGGTGTGTGCTGTCGACTTGCGCCTGGCGTCGAGCGGGTGG